CAGATGTTGGACTGTGTTGTGGTGAGGCATCCACATCCTCTGGATTACTGTTCTCTTTGGTACTGACAATGCTTTCGTCATTGTTCTCCTGATCGATATCAACCGTATCAACTTTTGTTGCTGCTGCTGTTGTTGTTGCAGTTGTAGTGGTTGTGGTTGTGGGTGTAGGCGAGGTTGATGTGTTTGTGGTTGGGGTTGTTTCCATGGTTGATGAATCCATGCTCATAATCAACTACCTGAATGATCACTTTCGAATCGAATTGATCAAGATGCTCGGCTCAGTTAATTGAGGCTCAGTAATGAATTCGATTCAGTTCGTGACGATTATTGTGAGGACGTTCGAACGGAAATTCAGTAACACAACAATAATGCACTGCACAATAACACTAATCAGTGTTACAAATACAGTTCTCGAATATTTCTACTGTAGTTTTGCAGAGCAACTCCGAACTCTTTGCAACAGTGGACGAGTTTTTGCACAATAACAAAATTCTATCAATTTCCGTTCTTTTACGACACAGCAACTAATGGAAACGCTATTGAATAATTAAACGACGCACAATTCGGTCGTTTTAAACAGCGAATGTGAGAATAGGGATAGGTGAGAATGAGTTCAGCACGATTTTAATAGCCACAGTAATGACGAGAGTATTCGAGAAGAATATTTACATCAATTGTAATAACAACAGCACAGTAATGAATGATTAATGATGAAGTTAGTATGTACTGAAATGATAACAATAATAATAAACAGTAACGTTAGTAGTATACGATAGTAGAATATAGCGCTATGAAGTGGTAGAGTAGCGACAGCTGTAATAATCTACGTTCGAGCTCTAGAAGCTCGATGTACAGAAGATGTCCGCAATTATACTAAAGGCGTTCTTTCAGCGGTTTATTGACGACGCTGAAACGACGTCTGCGGGCCTCCTGAAATGCCAAATTCGAGTTTACACGATTGAATCGTATCGATCAGTCGTATCGGCAATAGNCTGGAAAGATAATTATAGCATAAACATGAATGAATACGATCCAGAATAATTATGACGCCGATGAGGATACCCATTCAAAGAAACAACTGAAGGTGAAAAAGTTTAGATGATTGAAGAATTGCTATCGATGCTAGCACTGTTTAGCACTGGTACTAGTCATAGTACTTATACTGACTAGATAACTGATAAGAATGATGAAGCAGTAACAACGAAAATAATAATTACGCTGATTATAACAACAACAACAACATCAAAGCTCAAACCAGCACCAAGTACTAGACGAATAGTTCAATCCAGTGGTATTGTGGAAGTGAATCGTCACAACTTACGTAATTCCTCAAATCACCTGTTTGCAGCATTCTCACAATTCAGCCATAAGACATCATATCATACAGATCAATCACCAGAACGACTTGAAAAATAAGACATATATACATAGTCGAGCACATAAATTTCAGATTGATGAATATCAGTTCGCAAAAAGAATGCTGAAAAACGATCAATTTAACTGCTTATAATGTCATTAAACATATTTATTACGGTGTAATTGCTCGTGGAAGTAAAATGAATTGTTGACAGAAGAATGAATCGATTGCATTTTAATGGGCGAAAGTGTTCGAGTTGAAAGCGTACCGACCAGCAATTTGAAGTTGTCCGAATGAAAACACACACAAACCAAAATTTTCCATTTCTTCTCATAATCAGTGCCGTTTTCTAAACAAACCAAAAACGGTAACCTTGAACGTGATGATGCCAAATAAATGAAACAACAACATTCATTTCATCTGTCAGTTCAGTGATTCATCCATCTACAATATATTTCCAGTAGCCTTTTTCGGAAAAACAAGAAATTTCAACCGAACGAATACTCAACATAAATTAGGCAGCCAACATTCACTGCAGAAAAGACCACTACTGTGAACGACTGGAATGATGAAGGACGATATTTTTGTAGAGTTCACCAGCTGAACGAGTATCGACGAGAGTTTTCTAGGTAAAAAATCGTCTGTAAGCATCAAAGAATAAAATCCCTTCTATAAGAATACGGTCCGATGCCTTCAACACGCTTCGAAGTATACTCTCAGTTCCTCAGCTTGAATTATAGTGGTGTATGATTCTAGGGAACCGCTCGAATTTTTGATTAATCGTTCAGTTGCAAATTCAATTATCACCGAACTAACTAATCATAAATGAGGCCACCGGTCAAGGTAGTCGAAAATTTCGAAAAGTCAGCTGCTGACACAGCATGTACCATTCTATTCTTGTGGCAATTCTTAAACAGATATATTCTGCTTCATCATCATTTAACCGTTTCCTGCGATTCGTTCGATCGGTAAGCTTGAGAAAACAAACTTAGTATGAAACTATTTCTTCGACTGCCATACTCAATTAATGATCATAGCAAAAATGTTGTGATACGAAAAGAATTATTGACAATATAGTCATCACTAGTAAAGAGTATGAACAAATGAATGAGCTTGATAAATGAGAAATCTGTGAAAAAAAGAACGAAAACTACAAAGAGCGTTACGTTCGAACTTAATTACAGATTCAAATTTCATCTATCATTTATGCTTCGAAACTGCGACCTATAATATTCTGTGCCTGATAGTGTCGGGAGATCTTTTACCACCTGTGAATGCTTTTATCAATCACCTGGAGTCTAAGGGTCTGTTGCGAGTAATCCCAAAGCTTCCTGCAATTCATCTGCACTGCAAATGGTGCAACTCATCGGTGTAATATGACCAATACGAGAACATAACTCACTTTTAATACCAATTAAACATAGCGGCACAGCATTAATGACTGCCTGCAATGTAAACAATGTAATATTCTGCTGCACCATTCACCAAAATCATCCCAGACAGGTCATTCATTTCATGCAATAAAGGAATCATAAAATAGTGATTAATAGGCAAATGATTCTGAATAAAAATTCTTCAACATCAACGCAATATCGCAGCAGACACAATTTCGTAGGGATTCAGTTAACGGATCACATATATACGCGAACATGCTTAATCAAAAAAAGTGATAACTCTTAGCAATAACAGTGATCAGCCAATAGATATTTGCTGCGAAACGAGGCAGTTTACCGAATGATCGACTGAATGACATAAGTATCGAGTGTTAGTGAGGATGATGGTGATGATGATAAAACTTGAAGCGTAGCACAAAAGACGCCTGCTTCAGCTCAGATTCGTTCTACAATATAATCTTGAGCACCTGTTTAAGTGACTACGATGACTGGATCATATATCAGTCACAGATACATAAACACCAACCAAGTTGTATTATATATGTGAAGTATCTATCATTTCACGTGATGTGTCGGATAGTTGTGAGATTATGCTTTCTAAGAATAATGATCGCACAGAAACACAAACAATTTCGAACCGAAATTCAATTTCGAATTCTCTTCGAGAGAAACGATGCAAAACTCACCTCTCATCTCATTCAAATCATCACAACNTATCCATAAGATTTACAAAAGTCAGTTGTTGTTGTTTTTGCGCTGTTCACTCGATGATTGCATTTTTGCCGAAAAAAATCAGACCACTTGAAAAATTGTTCAAACGATGATAAATGTGATCGTTTTGAAGCAGTCATTTTGATTTATTCTTGAAGTTGAACCTCAGCCTCTCCACAGATAAAATAGCAGGCGGACAGGTCAATTTATCAGATAGAAAAAATTTGAGAGAAACTATTTAAATGATTGATGACGAGAATCCTTAAATGACGTTGAAAATGAGACAATCAGTAACACGGCGATGATTGAATTGACTGTCTTCTCATTAAGTGATGTGATTCTTAACAGTCTCATTAATTCTCACCAAACGACGTTAAATGTAATGACGTTCACTCTGCTCAATGCTTGCCCACAAGATTTCTTAAACTGAATGAACAAAGTCAAGAATTTTCAATCTGAATGCAAAGTCACCAAAAATTATATCTGAAGAAGATGCCAACACGGAGAAAATGCTTCTTTACAGCAACGAACTGATCGATATTTCAGGTTGCTACGACGAACCAAACTCAGTTGTGTGCTCCTCACTAAGGTTTCCTCTCAAACACATCAACGCGAAATGAAAAATTTCGCCATATTCTCTGCACATTTCATTGAATTGAATTTTGAGAGAAATTTTTGTGCGTGCGTTTTTCATTGAAGTTCATCCGAATTTTACGTAATTTGAGCAATTTTCAAGCGCTGAGAGCGAGCCTCTCAAAATGTTTCCTTCATGATTTTAAGTTGCGGGTAAATTATAACGACATTATGGAAATGAATTGCATTTCGTTGAATAGGTGCAATAAACAAACTTTTAAAATGTCCTGGAAACATGACCTGAATAATAAGCGAACTCTACTCGAATAATCCAACAAATAAAGAAACAAACGGAATAATCATACGGTTGCTCTGATGATGACTGCACATACGATGTTTAGTAGTTTTACACCGAGATAATAGTCTTGAAAATAACAGATGTGATCATCACATTCTTCTTTATCATAATGGATCTGGAATTAGAAAAAATGTTTTGCATTTTGAAGTGTCACAAAAGTGATTTGCTTGTGAAGACTCAGTCAGCAGGCTCGAAATGTGATCCGACGGTCATAAACAAGTGACGAACTGAAGGAATTAGAACTGGCAAACCAAATTGATAGAGCATTTTAAAATCATTTCGGCTCAACACCTGAATGTGGCTTTTCAAAGTCAAATAACTTACTGCTTATATTATGCTTATACCNCGACAACACCATCAAGCAATCGGTATTATAACCGAATCAGCTCACTCAACTCAACTTGTAGCGCTCGCTCACTGCTTTAAGAATTTAAATAAACAATGTAACAAGATTGAGTTACTCGTCGAATGACACTCTGATACGAACAGCAATATCACCTCTATATCTTGATGTTTACATTGAGTACAATCTTGAAAGTTTTACGCTAACAGCTCTAGCAGCAGCAGCGCCTTCTCGATACTGCAGCATTTTCACTTCAGTACAACAGTGTTGACTTATAGAATCGTTTGAAAGTGGAACAAAATGATATCACATTTGCATTTGGTTACAGAAATGATTGACGAGTGAGTAACAAACAATGTAAGCACTCGGCAGACTGGTTACATCAAGTGAATTCAACAATCTTTCAAGTAAACTGCGATAGATCAATAGTGAAATGGTTTTCGTGAATGAGAGATTGAAATGAATGGATGAAAAAAGTGGAAGATTTACT